GTAATAAAAAACTCTGGCACTTTAACACTTAAGAAATGTCATATACAGAGTACTTACTTTTACCGCATGCGCAACATCCAAATAATGGACTTCACCATTAAACGATCTATCGTCTCTATTTACAGATTGGATTAGAAGGACGAGAATTTGGACTTTTGGACACGTTGGATTCTGACTTATGTTTTATCTCTTAGGAACAATGGTACCATTTTTAGGAATATACACAAATGTAGACAGGCTTTCACAGGCATGGGTGACGGCTACAAACACGGATTCTTTCATTCAGGTTCTATTTTTCTCTTTCAGGGCTGTGGTGTATTATACGGAGAGAAGTATAGATGAGAGTAACACCTGCGTCACTTCCGGGGCAAAAATGACGGCTCCTCCCACTTTTTGGGCGGAAAACAAATCCGTTCATTTGAACGGCGGCGTCAATTCAAATTCTGAAGTTTTTGCACATCGATCAGAAATTTAAGAAAACCGTGGATTTTTGGATCTTCAAAGAACCCGATTACGATGGCCAGACAGGCAAACAATTACATTCAATCATTTGAAATCGACGATCGGGCTCGATATATGGTTAAATATAGTGGTAGGCGATCAATGTCCACAGATGAGAGTAACATGTACGTCACTTTACGGCCCCGCCCCCTTTTGGGGGAAACGACGCTGTCATTTGAATGGCGATCGAGCCTGAAGCCACAGAAGAAGTACAGAAAAACGCAACCCTGGATTTGTTTTAATGTTTGAGGTGCAATAAACGACACAGCAGCTTTCTGACATGATAAAACTATTATTTTCCAGCTTGCGAAATTACAGCCTCGCCTACTGATTTTTATTTAACCATATATCGAGACCGATCGTCGATTTCAAATGATTTAATGTAATTGTTTGCCTGTCTGGTCATCGTAATCGGACTCTTTGAAGATCCACAAATCCACGGTTTTCAAAAATTTCTGATCGGATTGGCCAAAACCTCAGAATTTGTATTGACCGCCATTCAACTGACAGCGTTGTTTCCCCCCGAAAGTGAGCGGGGCCGTAATTTTCGATGTGACGTAGGTGTTACTCTCATCTATAAGGGGCGATGATTGGAAAGAGGAAGAAATAGGACTTTTGGACACGTTGGAAACAGTGGATATGTTGGATTTCATGCTAAAAGCTTTATCTTAAAGGAATAGTTCTACATTTTACGATTCTGAAGATCACACCTTGAAATGGTCAATTAATACCCAACAACCTAATAAATTCAGTTTACTAAGAACTCTGGCACTTATCCACTTAAAAATTATATACGCAGTTCACTATACCACGTGGCAACATCCAAAGATGGACTTCTTCCTTAAGGGTCTATTCTCTGTATTGCAGGCTATCTACGGGGGCAGATTGGAAAGAGATCGAGAATTTGACTTTTGGACACATTGGATTTTGTGCTTACAGCCTACTGATATCTATCTTTAAGATACGATAGATTAAGATAGACATCAGAGGATTGGCTTCAGTCGACCACGTTTATTCTGACAAGGGTCGCTTTGATGTCACAGTTGCAATGCTTAGACTTTTGGACACATTGGACAGCTGATCGTTATCTTTTATTCATTTTAGGATAAGCACAACTCCAAGGTCTCATAGCTGAAGAGACCTTGGAGTTGAAGAGAAGAGAACCACTTTAAAATGCACATTTATGACCCAAATCCTAAATAAACGTTGTCTACTGTAATATAAAACAAAGACACAGACTCTTTTCCATCGTAATTCACACACTAACTTTCACCTCATGGCAAAATTCAAAGGACGACTTCTTCAATGGGGTCTTTTGTCTCTGTTTGCCTTAGTGCTGTGGTTATTATGGAGGTATTAGGTAGGAGGAATGGACGTCATTGGAGGTGAAGAGGGGGAGGATGGGCTTTATTTGACCAGGTTGATCATGAAAGAAACTCTCTTTGATGCCTCAGATGTAAAACCTTGGATTTTGCCATATTTCACTGCATTCCTGTCGAGAAGCGGCCGGCTGTTATACAGAGAAACACAATAGATTAATCATGTTTATCATTGTCAGCCCTACGGGGAGAGAAGAATGAAGAAATATTGGAGATTTGAGTGTTGGGCATGTAGGCAGTGTTTCTGCTTATACAGTCCTCTAGATGTGCATGGAAACAGATGAAGAAATACTCGCTACAGATCATTACGCATATACTGAGTATTGATTTCATTTCAGCTTAGTGGCTCTATAAATTGTTGTTTCGGTTGATTAAGGTTTTAAACGTTATGTACTTATGCTATATTCATGATCTTCAGAGGATTTGATTCCCCCCAGCTTCTCCTTAAGCATCAAACACATTGAAACGTTTACATTTTACTTAAAGAACCCATGTCATGCCCATTTCTACTGATCATATTTCCATTGTTGGGGTCTACTAGAGTAGATTTAAATTGTGTAATTTTCCAAACTCACATTGGTTTCTCATACAGCATCTCTGTAAAGTATGTGTATTCACTCTGTCCTAAACGGCTTGTTGGAGCCCCCTCCCCCCCCCTGTGAGCCCAGTGTGCTCTGATTGGTCGGGACGTTGCGAGGCCCGTTGCGAGGCCCGTTGCGAGGCTCGTTGCGAGGCTCGTTGCGAGGCTCGTTGCTGCTCGCCGCTGCTTCGAGGAGCGGACAGGTTTCCGGGTCGGCGCGATACAGCGAGAACAAGCAAAAGTCATCCTGAGCACACACAAACACTCACAGCCGGAGTAAAAACAATAAGTGTGGCTTGATATTGAGTAAGAAAAAGGTTTATAACGCTGTGAGAATGGGTCTGCGGAGAGCATTTATCCGCCATCCCAACTCGTCTATTACCAGCGTTCAGTGAGCTCTATGCAAGTCAATGGGATTCTCCCTGTTAGTNNNNGAGAGAGAGAGCCGATAGCCGAGTCCTGGTAAGCAGAGGGAAGCCTGGACCAGCCAGCCTGAGGTCTGCTCAGAGGGTCAGGGAAAGGCAGTCAGAGCAGAGAGCGGGCCAGCTGGAAGGAGCTGCTGAGGGAGAAGCAGCTGAGGCCGGCAGCTGCAGGGGAACTGCAATCAAGTACGCAGGAGAGGATCAGCGAGATGGGTAGAGACGCTAAGGCGCTTGCAGCAAGGTTACAACGAGCTCCAGAATAAAGCTGGAACAATCCAACTGGAGACTTCGAAAAGCTGTAGAAAACCTGAAAAGGACAGAAGCCAGAGTTGGATTACCGGTAAATCTCAGCTGGAGGATGGCCCATAAGTCAAGGCAAGCGTATAGCTATAGCGGAGTATGAGTACCATGGAGCAGAACGCCCAAACACAGAGAGGCCTCCGAGGAAGGCAGAGGCAGGCGCACCCGGGAACTGCTATGGGTTCAGACGCGGAGCGAACTGAAGGACATGGACCTTGAGACTGGACGAGGTGGAACAGAAAGCGGAATATGAACACGGAGCAAGAGGGCCGAGCATTTTCTGGGGCGCGGGAGCTGTCTGGGTCTACGCCCACACAGAGAAAGGGCCGGTGCCCAAAAACGGACAGCCAGTGTGTCGGTCCCCTGCAGAGTACGGAGAGGGTGGGGGTAATGGTGTTTGTGCTGAGTTTTTGTTGTCTCTGGCGAGGAACTTTGTTAGTAGGGGGGTAGTGTGCGACCCGATAGGATGGCTGGGGTGTCACTCCAGGCATCCCCCCGTCTCCTCCTGCCAATTCACAGAGCCTGCACAGTGATGCTGGTCTAGGTGCGGTCCTGTGGTTGGGAGCCAGACGGTAAGGGCCCGGGGAAGTTGTGATGCTAGACCAATGTTATATATAATGGGTATGTGTGGGCCAGTTAGTGTCAGAGTGTGTGTAAGGTGGAAACGCCCAAGCTTGTACGCTGTACCTCTGTATTCCTATGCTAATAGGACGTTATTAAAAGCCGAAAATTGAAGCCCTGTTCCGACTCCCCATCTGTGAACGTTACAGTAGGTACATTGAATGACATTCATCATAAGTTCTTTATAGGCAGATTTCTACCATCTCCTTGTCTCGCAATTTATTTTAGGATAGTTTGCTACCGTGTTTGCCCTTCCTTTTCTGATCTAGGGTTCTAGCTGTATTCTTACCCCATGGCCTACCAGGTTCTATTTGTTGCCTAAGTATTGATTTGCCTGCCTCTATGTTTTGCTTATGAGCTAGTTTAGTTTGTTGTATGTGTAACCAATAGCTGATTTTAAAGCTAGCACCCTCCTTGTAACGACCCACCCTGTCCCACAAGGTCTAATACTGTCTCTGTGTTTATCCTTCTTCAGTTACGATCCTGGCCATACTGTGGAGTGGAGCATGTGGTTTGCTGGGCACTTTTTGCATGCAGATATGGGTGATTTGCAGTGAGTGGGAATTGAATACAGCTACACGTGGTGATATTGTGGTTTAGGGGAAACCCTCAGCAGTTGGCCAGAAGAATCACTTTTTGACTATTTAACTATCACTATATGTGTGATATTATAATTCTTCTAGTTATTCTCTCCGTGTCTGAGCCAGCCTTCAATCGTGGGACTTAGGTGTGTCGACTGGGAAAGCTGAACAAGTTTTAATCTGCATTTTATAATACTGAACTTTTACCTGATTATTTATATAATAAACTTTTGTAAACATTTGAACTTGAGGCCTCGTCCCTGTCCATCCTTTTATTCTTATCTGCGCGACTTGTCCTAAGGGCTCGTATTGGGGAACCCAGGTTAGCGTTAAGTATCCTAACCCCCTTTTATTATCGCAGACCCCCCTCCCCGGTGGGGCAGGTCACATGTGCATGCTCACCTTTTTCTTTAGCTTATTCAACTTTATTCCATATCAAATGTTCATTCACACACATGTCCTGCCGGTGTGCCACACAATATTTAAAAGAAATGAGAAGGAAACCACTGGTTCATGAAAAAAAAGCCCTAGGTATCTAGACAAGAATAATTATATATTTCCTACTCATCTTGCACCCTCTGGGTAAAAATCAATGGTTGAGTCAATAATCTCAAGCCCATTTCCACGAATCATGACTGCTCCTTGCCTCATCCTATCTAGCAGCTGTAGGTTCAGGAGGAAGACGATCAGAGTCAAACTGTCACATGAATGACATGACTTCTCTCTCCTAATAGCTCAAACTTCCTGTGTAATTGCTCGGCTGTGATTGACAGTGGAAAGTTAGGCCTTTAGTTTCCGACTTCACTTCAGTGATTGGATGGGTTAGCTCGAATGTCACATTAAAAAGACGTTTAGAACAGTTTAAAGGCTCCATCTGTGTCTTAGATTCTAAAGTGTATATATCACCGTTTACGTCGCTGATTTTCTCCCCAACGGCGTTACGGCGCTCACTACAACAACAACAATGGGGGACTGCGTTGGGTCGATGATCGTGTTGCTTTTAATCATACGAAGCCAGATTAAATAAAATAATGACTTCTCCAACCTTACACTTTTCTCCAGAGTGCTGTGGTTCATTGTTTATTAATGTGTTTCAGCGGCATTTAAAATATTCACTGTCTGACTGTCACACAAGCAGCTGATGCATATCCCCAATTCCCCATAAGTGAATGTGTTTCAGTCTGAACTGACGCTGTTTGGCATCACAACGCTGTTATTAAAGTTTCTCTGGTATAAAATGGGTGATATTAGCATGGCAACCGAAGCTAAACTGAATATCTTGACTACTTGTTGCTATCCTATTGTGGCATAAGTCGTTTCCTACTGGCACATTTTACCGACGTATTTTTCATTATGATTCTACTTGGGATAGTCGGACATGACAACCTTTGCAGCCCATGTATTGATTACATCCGATAGCTGCTATAATACAAAACAAACGTCTGCCTCTCCACAATGATCAATAACAGTGAACGGATGGTCAAAGTAAGGTGCAAATAAACAGAATCACACGAAGCCTGTTAGTGTTGCCTGACTTTATAAAGTGTGTTTTTTTTGTTACAAGTGTGTGGTTGTGTTCTAGTCACTTTGCTCAGCACTACTGCTCGTTACAACTTGTATTTGCCGTACTCGCCTTTAACTGTTAGCTCAGGTTAATCTCGCCACCCTCCGACGTAAGCGTGATGTTTGCGGTTCTTGCTTCTAGACCGACAATTTTTTGGTGCTTGAAACGAACCGGATTCCGGAGCTTAGATTGGTATTTAATTCATAACTGAAATGTATCGACCCACTTTAGTTAAGTTCATTTTACTCACAAGAGGATTTAGAAAATGCAATTTTTCTAGTGCTGTGAAAACACATATTTTTGGCTTTCAGATAATAGATTCGAAAATGAGTTTGAGATGCAGGTGATTTCCAGGGCAATGTTTAATACAAAGGTCTAACCTCCCCTGGGGATTTTTAGCACAAAGCCATTTACCTTCATGGATCACTCTGCGTTTTGCCAAACTGCACAAAAACATAACATAAAACACTTACATCCATCATGACAGCCCACATATATCCCCGCAATCACACTTCTAATGGTGATACATCAGAATATGCTAATTCAGGGGAGAGGCTACTTTTCTCTCCTTTTCATTAGGAATGTAATTAATGCCAGAGGACCGGCTGATTAAATGATGTTACAGAGCTGGATTTCAAGAGCAGGCTGTTCAGTTTTATGAGAAAAGCTGACATCAATATTTCCTCTTGAAACAAATGAGAGCATGCTGTAAAATGGGAAATTCCTTTGAACATTTATTATGTTAAGGTTTTATTAAGGAATGTAGCAGCCAGTGAATCACTTGTGTTGATATCCAAAAATCATTTTTGAATAAAATATAAAGGCATTTACAGTATTCAGTGAATCCATGGCGCTTCCCATTGCTGCACATTGGTTTTTCAATGTTCTCTTATTACTTTACGTAAATCAATAAAATTGACAGGGTTTGAGTTTTTGTGTGTCTAGTTTTGGGGGTTATTTTGCTGTTCTGTCCTCCCTGTCGTTAGTTTCCCTGGTGTGTCTAATTGTCTGATTGTGTTCACCTGTTGCCCTTGTGTTTCTCCTCCCCTGCCCGGCTGTTTCTCGTCTCGTGATTACCCCTCCCTGTATTTAGTCTTGTCTCTTCCTGTGTTCAGTGTTGGTTCATTATTTGTCGTTCATGTCCCCCTTCGTGTTCGTCACAGTCACCTTTGTTTGGATGCTACCTCGTACCAGGGGGGTATACTACGAAGCAGGATTTTCGCTTAGCCGGCTAACTTCAGGGAAAACTCGGGGTTTCCGGTCCTACGAAGCTGGTTCTCTTTTTAGCAGGCTAGATCTCCATGGTAACTTATGCTGAGCGGCTAACCTCCTCGGGAGGAGGTTAGGTTGCAGGCTAAGAGATCAACTCAGTGAAAGCACCGCCTGCTGACCAATCAGAGCTCAGTGTGTCGGAGTTTAAAAGTACGATCAAGTCCTAGTTACAGGAGAAAGGAAATACAAAACTGTCGTTGCAGGAAAGACGGCCGGCAAAAATCAACTGACTGTGTGAACGTGAAATTGAATAGAATATCACCTCCCATCTTCAGAGCAATCTGACTATTATAACATTAGTGTTAAGAAAGCTTACTTAACATAAGTAACCGGATCAAAATAACAGCCTACAGTCCGCGGCATATCACATCATAATGTATCATATATTTCCTTATCTGAGTCAGCTTCTTGAGCCGTATCTGGCCGTGCAACAGGCAGAAGTATTTTAAGCAACACATTACGAAACACTCGAGTCAAATGTAGTTAAAGTCAGATCCACTCGTGTCTTAGACGGGGCATATCATAAACCTGTTAATGTACGCATTCAAACACTTGTTCTGTTACCAGCTGTGTTCACCTTGCAGGTGCAGCTATGTGGCTTTTATCCTGGATAAAGTGTTTAAGTCATGGATGTTTAAAGTTTAACGTCTTCATATGTCTAATATTATAGTTGACTTTTCATTCAGGAAGTATGACGCGCTGCGCTGTCAGTACGCTTCTCCATGTTAGTGATTGGTCGAATGCTCCAAATACCACCCCTTTTATGTGAACGCGAACCTAACTAGATAGGACATGGCTGGCTTGAGCGATCCACTTGACAACCCGCGTCGTAGTACCGTTTAGCGAGGGCGCGTATGTTTTGGATTAGGCCAACCGGCTAACTCAAACATATCCAGGTTAGGTTGAACCAGCTTCGTAGTACAGGCCCCTGTTCTTGGATTCTTGTTTTTGTTCAGCTTTTTTAAATAAAGCTCGCCTTTTGTTTCCTTTTGAAACCTGCTTCCTCCTCAATCTGCATTTGGGTCCTATTTTTCCCCAACCCTGACACAAACGTTCCTTTTTGCAATAAACACGTGATTTATTTTCCAAAGCAACACTCAGTGGTTGGTAAATGGCAAAGCTAAATGGATCTGATTAACATTAAAGCATTTAACAATAATTCAAATAAAGGTAAAAGGAGAGAAAACAGGAACAATATCCCAATATAAAAGACAACAAACCCCACAATGCCACCATTGCCTCTCTTCATTAATTTTCTTAGAGCGA